TGATTTAGTCAATGAAGTGCTTTTCTCGCAGCCTTAAGGACCTAAGTCTGATCATGAAAACCCACACAGAAATCCAGGAGTGGTGGTCATGCCTGTAATCCTACACTGAGGAAGTGGGGACAGGAGGACTCCTAGGGCTTGTCAGACTAATTAATATAGGTGAGCCAAGGTCCCAGTAACAGACCCCACCTCAAATAAACAAGTGGAAAACTCCTGAGGAACGAGACTGGAGATTTACCTGCATCCCCCTCACACACATGCACTCACTCACACACTTGAACACATACCACACACACACACAAGGTGAGAGTGGGGGTAACTCAGCACAGCTATTCGTATAGAATGGCTGTAGTTAAACTCCATCTGAATCATCCCCCACTGTCATCTATTGGCCTTTTCCTTAAGCTGGGTTGGTTTCTGCCAAGTAGATTCTGTAAACTTTTACACACAGCTGTGTGCGAGCCTTGAGAAGTCACAAGGCTGGAAAGTCTTTCCACTGAGTATATCCTGACATAGGCTACCTCAATAAACTAGAGTTCAGAGAGTAAAGGACAGGGACAGGCTCTGGCTAGCCAGATGTGTTCTGGATAGCTTTAATTTGTCACCTTGACAGGTCCTAGAGTAAAGGGAGAGGAAAGCCTCAATTGAGACATCAGCCAGATCAGAGTGGCCTGTGGGGCATTTCTGTGGGGAGGACTGTCTTAATTATTCATTGACATAGGTAGGAGAGCACCGCCCACTATGGGCAGCACCTTTCCTACATAGGTGGTCCTGGGTTGTACCTAAGTATGAACATGCCAACAAACAAGCACATGATGCTCCTCGTGGTTTCTCTTTCTAGCATTTCTGTTTTGAGCTCTTCCCTTGGATTCCTGCCCTGGTTTCCCTGGATGATGAACTGTGACTTGGAAGTGTAAGATGAAATAAACCTTTCCCTCCCCAGTTGATTTTTGTCAGAATGATTCCTCACAGCAACAGAAAAGAAACTAGAACAACAGAGAATAGGGATATGACTACAGTTCTCTCATTCATACCCACATTCAGCCATAAGAAAAAACTGTCTAGTCCTGGGTGGGAGGTTGTATATGACTTTTCTTCCAGAAATGATAGGACCATCCTGTCTTCATTTGGAAGTAGAGATAATACATGCCCTGGTAACTATGACAACGGCTTGGGCAAAAACACAGTGATAGATGATAGATAGCTAGGTCTGTGGTAATAGTAATGGTGTTAGCACTTCCTAACAGAAGGATGGAGTGGAGGCTCTTAGGATCATCATCAGGGATGCTAGCCATTACTCTTTCTGCCTCACCACCAGCTGCAAGAGATCTTGAGAGATGCTAGACTATCTAGGAAGTGGAAGATGAAGGCAGGTCTTCATGATGCAGTGTCCATGAGGTTGCCAGCCATTATGGAAGGGGTGGATTTTTGGTGGGACAGCTGCTCTTGGGTCATTCATGCCCCTGTAAGTAGCCTGTCATCTGGGCTCTGAATGTAAGCTCAATAAACTCATCAGTTGACCATGTTGGCCTTCAGTGGAATCATTACATTAGTCTGGTGTCATAGCCCTACCTTGGATGAGGAGACATTGGTCATGTCATGTCTCCCCTGGAAAGCTAGTACAACAGTTAGTCTCTGTGGCTCTGAACAGGTTGCATTCTTCTGCTCTAACATTCTGGTGAGGGTTAGTTTTAACTATCAAATATGACAATGTAGAATCACCTTAAAAGAAAATCTCAATTGAGGTACTACTTACATCAGGTTGTCCTTTGGGCATGTCTGTGTGTGTCTTGATTGTTCATTAAGGTGGGAGGGCCCACCTTGAATGTGAGTGGCAGTATTTTATGGCTGGGTGTATAAAAGGAACAGAGAACCACCAGCAAGCAAATAAGCTAGATATATTTTTCCTTTGTTCTTGACTATGGATGTGACATAACTAGTTGCTTGAGTCCTTGCCTTAAACTCCCTGAAATGATGCACTGTGCCTTGAAATTATAAGCCAAGGAAACCCTTCTTTCTTCCTTAAATTGCTTTTTATAAGGGTATTTATCACAGCCATAGAAACAAAACTAAAATGAACCTCCACCCCATCTCATGTGGGAGGTTAGGTCTCAGTTTCTCTAACTGGCTGCCAACTATCATTTATCCTTTCTCTTTCCATCTCATGAATAAAAAAGAGAAAGTGAGGTCAGCATCAATATCATCTCTCCCTGTGCTTCCTGACTGCAGATGTCATGTGACCAGCTGTCTCACACTCCTGATGCCATGCTTTCCCTATCACGATGGACTGCATCTTCAAACTGTGAGCCAAAATGAATTCTTTCTTCTTTAAGTTTCTCCTTATTAGACATTTTGTCACAGCAACAAGAAAAGTCTCCCTAACTTGAGAGAACAGACATTTGTTAATCTTACCAGGAAAAGTTGCATAACAGGGGCTCACACCACACAGATCACCTTGCACTGGGAGGACAGGTCTCACTCACACCACATAGATCACCTTGCACTAGAAGGACATCCTAGCCTGCCTGCTGCCCTCCCCAGACAAGAAGTGAGTAGACAAAGACTGTCCCTTGCAAGATTTCATCTCCATGGTGCAGCCAATCACTTGGTGCATAGTAGATGCTCACTGACATCTGTTCAATTGAGCCGTTTCTAATACACCGCATGTGGGAGGCCTTTCCAGTCTCATCAGAGAGTGAAAAACAGGCCATGTTTATTTGCCAACATGGCAATAAGAAAGGCTAATCAGAAAGCACCAGGAAGTGAAAACCGCCAGATGTTTTCTGAGAACACAAGTCCAGGAAGACAAAATAGCATGCAACGGGGGTGATGTATATTTTTCCCAGTGATTCGAAATGAATGTGCGCTTATTAGGCGGAGAGAGGGAGATTTAACGGGCTTCTCGGCTAATGCTGTAATTTTAAATCCATTTAAGATAATTTTCTTTATCTTGAATTTATTTTTCTCAGTAACCAGGATACTTAACTGATTTGCACAAAACCCATTTGATAAAAAAGAAAGAAAGAAAGAATCTACTGCAAGCAAGGGCACATTCTAAAAGGGAATAAGAAGGAGACACTGAAAATCTAAAGAAAATGGAGATTTTAGAAAGCAGAGTGAGCTCTTAGGTAGTAAACAGAGACTTTCAAAGCTCCAGTTTGGATGGGGGAGGGGTGCCAAGCCCCACCCTTGGTGGAGGAGCTGGTGGCATTTGGTGGCTGCTAAGTGTGTGTGAGTCACAGGTGATGACTGTGATAGGTTACCTGTGCTCCAGTGGGTGCTCCCACACCCACATTGCTTATGAGAGGAAGATATGATGTTGGAGACATGATGAGGGAGAATATCTGGAGAGTTTGAGCCTGTAAATGGGGGTAGATATGACCATATTCCATTGTATACATATATGAAACTATCAAGAATAATAATAATAAAAGACCCAATAGCAACAAAAAAGGAATTGCTAAAATTCTTTGAAAGATAATGCTACAATATAGATGTAGAAAAGTGGTTCTCAATCTGTGGGTCATGACCCCTTTGGAAGTGGAATGACCCTGTTACAGGGGTCACCTAAGACCATCCGAAAACACAGATATTTACATTATGATTCACAGCAATAGAAAAATTACAGTTATGAGGTAGCAACAAAATTTTTTTTTTGGTTGGGGTAGGCGTGGGGTCACCACAACATGAGGAACTGTATTGAAGGACCACAGCATTAGGAATGTTGAGAACCACTCACTAATCTAGAGCCTCCAATATATTTCCTTGGATTCAAAGCTTGGAAGCAAACTCCAGATCAATACATAAACACAAATGAGAAAAGGATTACACGTAACAATCAAACATCGAAAACAGCTAAAATTTCTAATTATGAACAAAATGATCACATTGAGTTATATCAAAAGCTTGTGGGGCTGGAGAGATGGCTCAGAGGGTTAAACAGCTGCTGTGAAAGCATGAAGACCTGAGTTTGATCCCCAGCACCCATGAAAGTGCCAAGCCTGGCATCATGTAGGGGGATCCCTAGGACTCACTGGCCAGTCAGCTAGGCCAGCTAAGTCGGGGATCTTCACATTCACTAAAGGACTCTGACTCAAAATCTAAGGTAGAAAGAGATAAAATAAGATTAAAATAAGATAAGATAGCAGACATTTACCTCTGTACCTCTGTCCTTCACATCTACATGTACACACTTTTTTTTATACCCCCTACACACAAATGTGCACACACAGGAACATAGACATTTATTTATACATGTGCTTGTGTTATGATGTCAAATAAAAAAAGACAAAACTGATACATCAATTACTCATAATCTATAGAAAACAGACCCAATGATAATATTTTAATGTTGTCATATACTGGTACATGATAATATATAATATTACCAA